ACTATCTGTTCACCTACCTTTTATTATTTATTTGAACACATAAATATTGGTACAAGAGGGCACCAAATATATATGCGCCACACAAATTTTCATTTTATTTGTGTGTGGGCTGTGATACTGTCCGGGTGCCTAAACCGAAGCAGGTGGTTTTCTTAGGGGGTCACACCCGGAGCCTTTGACCCACAAGGCGGTGGAGCATCGTGAGGAGATGCAGTCCCATGGTAGCCAGTGACCAACGGTTGGTTCATACGCCATTTGTTCCCTCAGGATACTGAAGCCCATGTGCACCATTGGTTTGGGATCCGGTTAAAGCGCCGGACATTCGCTTTTCGTCCTCTCATTTTTGTAAACAACACCCTCGCCACGAGAAGGCAATGAGTAGGACTTCCCTGGCAAAGGCTGTATACCTAGTTAATCATAATCTATAAATTATTAATGTACTGAATTTCCTACTCTACAATCCTGTACAAGTGTTCAAACAATGATCGTTAGCGCTTATTCAATCCTGATCATAATAATAAAAATTTTAAAGCTTCTTGAAGTTCTATTAAATCCCATTGTTTATTAGATTCTTAGTCTGAAATACAGGAGGCACGAAATATATATGCGCCACGCTTTGTCTTTCGATTTTTGTGAGGGCTGGAATACTGCACGGGCGCACGAGCTGGAGCAGGGTGAAATACAGAGTTACAACTATGTTCAACCTTGCTGTAAACTTTCAGTGTTATTTATTCATAGTGAACTAAATGTTTAACAAATAAATGTGCTAATTAGAGATTTACACTGAATCATTATTAGGAAGAATTTGGATTATCCCTCCGTTTGTGTTGTCGATTAAATTTTAATCGGTCTTTGTCGACATATATACGTCCTGTGTCGATTGCCTCGATTCATCCATTTTATTACAAGTTGCATGGGATAGAAGTATTGTGTATAGATCCGTGTAATCTAGGTCGCGTGTTTCGTCTTATTTAGAACTCATTAGCTGGATATAGTTGCATTCTTGTTAATGCTTACTGATATCATTATTAGGAATGGTTTAGATAGAATATTCAGAAAAACAAGTTTTTAGATGAACATTTTTTTCATTAACGTCATCTTCAACTTGTACAAATATCAATTCATAAGTTTTGTGTCACTATAAGTAACTTAAACGGGCAACAACATGAATGTAAAGTCATTTTTCAGTCAAACATTCTTGATGTTTAGAAACGTGATACGTTAAGTGCTCATCACGAGACTAAAACCTATTACCGTACTACTGTTACTACTACAATGATCTATTACTGCAACTCGTCTGGTCACGTTAATCAAATGAATTAAGTTTCACATTTGATCTTACATATCTAGGTTAAATAATTTTCTCGTTTGTCCGTTGAAGTTATAAAATGTCATCCTATGGATCTGTGTAACATATGTCTGGAAAACTTTTTATAGTGAATTTAAAGTATATATAGATACATACGTGCCAGACAGAGTAAATGAGGAATATGCATGTGATATAAACACTCAAAGTAGTTAGTGTTAAATCAGAGGTAGACTCACTAAGTTATCCTATTTATTTAATTAAGTTCTGAGATATTTTTACAAACTGCTCATAAGCGTTGAATGTCATTTTCATAGATTACTATAGAACAGTTCATGCATATACGATGTATGCTACTTATGTTGACAGATATAAGTAGTATGTAGCATCAGTCGGAAGTAAAATGCCTGCCAGCTGAAGATTGAGAAAATTGAATTAGAGGGAACAGGAAGGGAAACAGAAAGCGATTGTAATAACACGATTGGAAGATTCGTGAAGCATGTTTAGGGCAACTGAAATAAGATGTGCAAATAATGTTTTTAATGTATGATTTTCATATTTTGCATTAAAAAACAAATAGGTTTCCTCCAACTGAGTGTTCATTCACCACACACATAAAATACAGAAAACTTATTGACCTGCTTATCTACCAATAATATATCTTTCTAAGATTGACTTGTAGTGACTAGAAAAGTAACTTATGGGAATGATTTGTACGAGTTCGAACCAATCATCATCGAAATTTTCTTTGGATTAGCTAAAAAGCTATGTACCACACATACACAAACTAGGATTACAAATTGTTATGTCGGGATAAATATTAAAAAAAGTGAATTTTCGAAACAGTCCTATCTGAAGTTGCTGTTTATAATTTTGTTGTATAACTATTAAATAATTAAACTATTATGTTTTTCTCATTCAGCTACTTCCAAGCCTTTATTTGATCTTTCCAAAATTATTTCCAGTATATGACAGACCTATTACTCAGTCCTTTTCAACTCGTAAAGTGGTTGTTTCCATATTGTAATTTCTTAATTCTATTGATGTGTGATCAGGATTTTGCTCTGTATTAATGTATAAGTGATTCATAAATTCGAACTGTATAATTAGATGTTATCTGCTTGTTGAGTTGTTCTCTATTCTTACAATCGGGTGGTCGAATCAGTTAGTGATGATTAGCGTATAGAATGGCATATTTGTACACAATTCGACATAACATAACCCCATGGATGTATAAACATAGATTATGTAGAAATAATATAAATTAATATTCAATTAGATTTAGTCTTTTGATAATGTGTCAGCATAACCTTGACATATATTAGTTGATTTCATTCAAACAGTTAGTGAAAAATCATTCTTTCTTCAATGGAATTTATAAGGAGTAGTAATGATAGCACTAGCTCATTATCGTTTGATGTTTCAAAGCTCAAAGAGTCAACTAATATTATAAACTGATGTTTATCAACAATTGTAACTTTTATTTATCACTGGGGAAAAACTGTTTTTAAGCTCAAAGAAATTTAGATTTCTTTAATGATTAGTGATTAGTAAGCTATTTATCAGAATAAATTTCTGGAATCTACTTTCTCCAATATTATACTTAAATTTTGAAAAGTGACATTAATCTAAAAGGATAATTTCTCATTGAAATTTTGCTAAAACTTATAGCTTTGTAATAAGAGTTTTAACCGTCATCCAGTCTCAATAATTCTTGTATATTATGGTCTGTTCAGTTTTAATATTACTGTTAATGATAATAGTTTTATCATTTACTCTTTGATTTCTAATATATATGTGTTTTACAATTTCAAGATTGCTATCGATGAAGCTGTTCAACGAGCCGATAAATTAGTTGATAAAATTGGTACATCACGTGCATTTGTTCGTCCTTCAGGTACAGAAAACACTGTACGTATTTATGCTGAATCGTATACACATGAAGCAACTGATTGGTTATCCTCAACAATCGCTTTAATAACTTATAAATTAGCCGGTGGAATAGGTCCTCAGCCTACACCCCCAAAAACTCTTCATTCCATTTGTAATTGATTCATCAACTATTTTTAATCGTAGTTACTGTGAATAAATGTGCTGATCGGTGCTCTTTCTTTCCTGCTTTCGTTTTGTCTTGCTTTATTTAATCATATTTAGTTATTTTAATGTATTTCGCTACTATTATCTTTTGAAATCATAACTTTCATCTCTTTACTGTTTTTTTCCTATGTTTCCCTCTCGATTATATCTAATGGTAATTATTAAGTAGTTAATTTATATACTTCTATGTCATGAAATAATGTGTATTACAATGTGATATAGAATATTTACAATAAATTAATTTCATACAGAACAAATGTTATTAATAATAATGTCTTATTTTTAATTTTGTTTTAGAAAAACAAGACTATGTGTTAGGTGGTTGGAGGTAGTCGACAGGAAACTCTAGATCTAGGTCTCATACTATTTGACAGTCGTCAATGAGTTATACTGATAGTTATGAAAGAAGAAGTGCTCACAACAGATTCTGTCCCGTGTCATCTAGCTCCACAGTTAGAGACATTACCATTAAGCTGCCCAGGTCACGACTGACCTGTAGGATTATAATATTTTCAACTGATTGAGCACTAAGTAGTGACCAATGTCATGTTTATCTAGTTCCTTATAATTCTGACCGGTTTCTGCTGTTCAAGTTGCAACTTGTCAATCAACTATATGAGAATGTGTGTTTGTGAAAATTTAATTAATAATAGTGATTACTTCAATTTTCTGAGTTTTAAGTTCTTTACGTATTGATTTAACTTTATTAGTGAAAAAGTTTTGTTCATATTATTGTTCTTTTCGTCATCACATTTTTTTGTTTAAGGAACACGGTTAAAAATATTGCTTACTTGTGATCTATTCGGTAAATAAAATAAATCCTCCGTGAAATGAAATATTAAATATATATATATATATATCATGGGGTGTGTTCTTCACGAATTAATTCCAGCTGGGTTACCATTGAAAAATAGGGAGCACTGGACGGCTATATCCCACTGTGAAACTCCTTAGAATTGCTCACCCACTTTCCTGTACATGGATAAATATGTGTATTTTACGACGGTTGCAATCTCCCTAATTTTCCCACTATGGATGGATTCGGAAACTAGGTTAATAGTAATCGTCCTAGAGACCTGAGAGTATGATCACGGAAGTCTTTATAAATTATTGCTTTGTTGAAGAAATGATTTTGTAACTTATACAAATGTTAATGTAGTGACTAATTGTGAGTTACTAAAGTTTTGTACTTTAAGATTTTCAAGATTGACAATCTAGTTATTGTACTTTATGCTTGTGAAGGTAAAATTAAAGGAATTCCACTGTTGAGTCAATCACTATTTACATTTTAGTAACGTGTTATCATAATATAATAACTGATAAATTGACATTTTGAAATGAATTATGCACAAATATTGTTGAGTTGTTGTATGATATTTGGTTATAAAAGATACAATAATATGTTATATTTAAATAATTTAATCAGTTGTGATGGAAGTCTAAAAACTAAGTAGTCGATTGGGTTTATTTTTTAAGATTAATATTTCATGCACTAGATATATTTTCTATAATTTTAAAAACTACGTCAGACTGACTTAATGAAGTTTTTCGTTTGTTTAGTAAATGTAAATTTTCATTTCGAATTATTTCCATTTCAGATAAAACATTTCAATGTACAATTTTTCCGAAATTTCTCCATTTCTACTCAAAATTCGATCATGTGTTCTTTTACCTCAATGTGGTGGACGTTATTTCCCTCCAGGAACACTTTATCGTCCATATAATGAACGTTTTGATGAGAACTGTGAACATAAACCACTGCCTCATCCAGAAACTCCAAGGTTTCAAGGTATTGATAAACTCATATATCTGTATTATGATTCAATTTTAATTAGTCTCCGTTGTTAACTGCTGTTCTACAGTACCAATGATTAGTATGGAAATAACTAGGTCTTACTAAATCAGTCAACTGGTGGAGGTGGAAATAGGTAGTAATAGGTAATATTTGCTGTTCTTTTTTTAACTCACGAGTTATATAACGGTTATTTAGAGTACTAGGGTTCATTACGATTGAGCTTATTCTGATGCGAACAGGTTCTTTTACGGATTTGATATATCAGAAACTGGTGAACAACATTTCAACAATATTCCATTGTTATATATGAATATAATAAAAAAGACGCGAATGCAGGGAAACTTGATATTTAGTCAGATAAATCGAAATAGGACAAATCCGATTATATAGTAACAAAATCATGACTTTAAACTACACAGAAGATTAGCAAACTATAAGTAGTGACAACCAATCAAAAAAGGGCAAAGATCACGTGAAAATTTGTACCAAAAATATACTAGCGGTTGTGGTTACCAGTAAGAATTTCCCATTAAAGAAAGTTGGATAACCCCGTGATCTCCTTAGACAATCGTAATCAACAAAGGGCCTGACACATGTGTCGATGGGCTCAATCTACCACATCCTATCCTCACGTCGAGATGAAATTACCAAGTCCAAACAAGCACAAAATGCACTTATAGGATGGGAATCTCATGGACCAAGGGTCATCAAAGCCTCCTTCAAAACAAAGAAAACAGGGATTACAATAAACGTCATCCAATGCTACGCGCCTACCAACGGCTACGATGAAGACACTAAAGATCAATTCTACGATAGGCTGCAGTCAATCGTCGCGAAGTGCCAAACAAAGGACCTGACTATTCTGATGGGAGACCTAAATGCCAAGGTTGGAATTGACAACACCGGATATGAAGAGATCATGGGACGACACGGACTGGGAGAAAGGAACGAAAATGGTGAGAGATTTGCAAATCTATGTGTCTTCAATAAACTGGTCATAGGCGGAACTATATTCCCACATAAACGCATAAACAAAACCACATGGACTTCACCAGATCCCACCACACAGAACCAAATCGACCATATCTGCATCAACAAAAAGTTCAGGAGGACGATGGAGGACGTGAGAACAAAGAGAGGAGCTGATATAGCATCAGATCATCACTTGCTGGTCGCCAAGATGAAATTGAAACTCAAGAAGCACTGGACAACGGGGCGGACAATATCACAAAAATTTAATACGGCTATTCTTCGGGATAATGACAAACTCAGTAAATTCAAGATAACCCTCAGCAGTAAGTTCCAGGCCTTTCATGATCTACTCAATGGAGAAGGAACTACTATGGAGAGCAACTGGAAAGAGATAAAAGAGGCAATCACTTCAACATGTCATGAGGTTCTGGGCCAAAAGAATCACCATCACAAGGATTGGATCACGATCGATACACTAGATAAGATTCAAGAAAGGAGGAACAAGAAGGCAGCAATCAATACCAGTCGAACAATAGCAGAAAAAGCCAAGGCACAGGTTGAATACACAGAAGTAAACAAGCAAGTGAAGAGGAGCATCAGAACTGACAAACGTAAATATGTGGAAGATTTGGCAATGACGGCGGAAAAGGCTGCAAGAGAAGGAAACATGAGACAACTGTATGACACAACAAAGAAACTCTCCGGAAATCACCGTAAACCAGAACGACCAGTGAAAAGCAAGGAGGGAAAGGTAATCACCAACATTGAAGAACAATGAAACAGGTGGGTAGAACACTTCAAAGAACTCTTGAATCGACCAGCCCCACTGAACCCACCCAACATCGAAGCAGCACTCACGGACCTCCCAATCGATGTTGGCCCACAAACACTTGAAGAAATCAGCATGGCTATCAGACAAATCAAGAGTGGCAAAGCAGCAGGACTAGACAGCATTCCAGCAGAGGCACTGAAAGCAGACGTAGCGGCAACTGCAAGGATACTCCAAACTCTCTTCAGAAAGATCTGGGATGAGGAACAGGTACCAAAAGACTGGAAAGAAGGACTTCTAGTCAAAATACCAAAGAAAGGCGATCTCAGCTACTGTGACAACTACAGGGGAATCACTCTTCTCTCAATTCCAGGAAAAGTCTTCAACAGGGTATTGTTAAACAGGATGAAGGACTCCGTAGACGCACAACTTCGCGACCAACAGACAGGATTCCGTAAGGATAGATCGTGCACAGACCAAATCGCAACTCTACAGATCATTGTGGAACAATCAATTGAATGGAATTCATCACTCTATATCAACTTCATTGACTACGAAAAAGCATTTGACAGCGTGGATAGGCCAACAATATGGAAGCTTCTTCGACACTACGGCGTGCCTCAGAAGATAGTCATTATCATACGGAATTCCTATGATGGATTAAACTGCAAAATCGTTCATCTGGGACAGTTGACAAAGTCATTCGAAGTAAAAACCGGTGTCAGGCAAGGTTGCTTACTCTCACCCTTTCTCTTTTTCCTGGTGATCTACTGGATCATGAAGACGTCAACATCTGATGGGAAACACGGGATACAGTGGACAGCTAGGATGCAATTGGATGATCTAGACTTCGCAGATGATCTGGCTCTTCTATCGCATACGCAACAACAAATGCAGGAGAAGACAACCAGTGTAGCTTCAGCCTCAGCAGCAATAGGTCTCAATATACACAAAGGGAAAAGCAAAATTCTTCGATACAACACAGCATGCACCAATCCAATCACAATTGACGGAGAAGTTTTGGAAGATGTAAAAACCTTTACATATTTGGGCAGTATCATCGTTGAACACGGTGGATCTGATGCAGATGTGAAGGCACGGATTGGCAAAGCAAGAACAGCATATTTTCAACTGAAGAATATCTGGAACTCAAAACAATGGGCAACCAACACCAAAGTCAGAATTTTCAATACAAATGTCAAGACAGTTCTACTGTATGGGGCGTAAACCTGGAAAACTACGAAATCCATCATCCAAAAGAAACAGGTGTTTATTAACAGTTGTCTACTCAAAATACTTCAGATCCGCTGGCCGGACACTATTAGCAACAACCTACTGTGGAAGAGAACAAATCAGATCCCAGTGGAGGAAGAAATCAGGAAGAAGCGCTGGAAGTGGATAGGACATACATTGAGGAAAGCACCGAACTGCGTCACAAGACAAGCCCCCACATGGAATCCTCAAGGTCGAAGGAGGAGAGGAAGACCAAAGAACACATTACGCCGAGAAATGGAGATAGATATGAGAAAAATGAACAAGAATTGGATGGAACTAGAAAAGAAGGCCCAGGACAGAGTGTGTTGGAGAATGCTGGTCGGCGGCCTATGCTCCATTAGGAGTAACAGGCGTAAGTAGGTAAGTGAGGTATAGAAATGCAGAATATGATTCATCCGCCAGTTGGTATGAAAAAGTAATCGTCCTAACATAAGGACAGCTGAATGGATATGTAACATGGAAAAATACTGATCATTACTAAACTTAAAATTCACAGGAATTTCATTAATTATTATCCATAATCAGACAGGGGTTTTGTGGATATTATAGTAATGTAATAGTTGAATTCATGAGTCAGTTAAAGCTAGACCACCAAGAGATATTTCCTGGAGTTCTAGTAAGAAGCAGTGACCAGTAGAGTTCAGCCGGGTCTGTTGTGAGATAGTAACTTACTGAAGACAATGGTGGACGGTGGCGCAACTTCGTAGATTGGTTGAAGTTAGACATTAACACCGTTGGATGCCGGCTCAGTGGTTTAGTGGTTAGGCGCTCGCGCACGAGGTCGGTAGGTCTTGGATTCGAATCTCGCGAGTCCCATTCTAGGACGGAACGGCTGTCCAGTGCTTCCAGGTTTCCCATGGTGGTCTAGCTTCAATTGACTCATGACTCAAAATATTCTCTGTTTATTATTTACACAGATATTTCATTTCGGTTACAATATGTCATCTAATAAATTTCTAGCTTTTATATGCTCAAATGAATCTTAACAAGTTTTACGCCAATTTTGTTGACGGTAATTTTAACGAAAAATTATAAATAAAATAAAACTGTGCGATTGTAAATTGAATTAAAATTTCAGGAAATTTAATCTGTTTATCATGCTTTAAAATGTAAATTTGTTATTCTTTTGCCACTAAAATATTCAATAATCCTTTTGTAACATTTTTCTGCATAGAAATTCCTGTTACAGACCCTAGATATAAGGCGAAAATTGCCGGTAAAAGACCAATTCATGTAATTTGTGAACCTAACCAAGTTTATTGGTGGTGTTCTTGTGGTCATAGTAAACGTCAACCATTCTGTGATGGACATCATATTCGGATTTTAGGCTCAAATCCAACCTTTAAAATCAACAAGCGAGAATTTAAACCCATTCGTTTAGTTTATGAACAGTAAGTCAATCATGTTTTTTTACTACTTTCATGACTAACCCACTTCATTGTTAATGCTCTCCTTTTTAGTGTTAAAAAATAATCGATGTCACTTACATCAGTTGTAACTCTCAAGCACAATATATCAATTATAAAGTTAATTTGACTACTTTTATCTTGAGAATATTCACCACTGAAAGATAAAGAGGAAGATGAATTAACTAAGTTTGTCTCGAGTGTTGTTAACGATGTGTAGGCTGTTGTCACTTTCCGGTTACTCACACCATAGAATGATATTTATTGTGGTACTTTAAATGGAAATTAAATTATTAGTAGAGTGATCTTGGCGACCCGGAAGAATGACCGCAGAGCCCAAAGAACAGTTACTTAAGGTTGGTCACATAGGACATTTTCCGAGTATTTCATGTTGTGTTAGCTTTGTTATTTAAAGGGACTACCAATGGCTACGGAAATTCTCGGAGTAAGGTGAGGTGTGCTATTCTTAGTCCCTACCTTGTCTAACTCATCCTCCCGTTATGGATAGACCGGATCGCTGCTAATGTTGGTTGATAGAGAGCAACACCTCGCTACCATCATATCAGTACGATCAATAGTACAACTTCACCCAAATAATGGTTACGATAATCGCGCGGACCTCAACCAAGTAGTATGCATTTACCAACATGGCTCAGACCAGAAGTTAGTGACTTTATGAACTGATACCACATTTTGGTTTGGCTGCCCCCTAACTTTCTTCCATCCCTCTCCAACACTAGTTAGCGTTGCACGTCGCGGTAATCGGTAGTTAGGCAAGCGTAATACGTGGCCCAACCATCTCAGTCGATCAAGATTCACAACCTCATCAACTGATTTATCATCGTCCTCTAATACTTTGCGTCTAACCACACTATTACTTACCTGGTGATCCCAGCAGATGCGATTAATATGTCTAAGACATCTGTGGTCAAACGCTAGAAACTTACGAGTATCTTCCATTCTTAATGGCCACGTTTCGCAGCCGTAAAGTAGAACAGAACGAACCACTGTGCAATATACTCGTCCCTTAGTTAATAGATAGATATCTCGCCTTCTCCATAGGTGACGTAAGTTGACAAAAGCCAAACGAGCTTTCTGAATCCGTGCTGAGATTTCGTCAGACTTCCAATATAAGTGAAGTTGTCGATGCATTCGACTACTAATGTTTTGCTAAAAACTATGGTTTAGTGAATATTCTACTGCTCAAAACTTACCACTAGAATAACCCTTTTTTAAAACTAACAAGAATCAAGGCATTTTTTCTTTCTTTGCTAGAAATGATAACAGTTCAATTTATCTACATGTGTAAATATTTACAAGTTATTAGAAAAATTACCGTATACTTAGAAATGATTTATTCATGAATCAGCGGATTTAGATAAGCGTAATCGTTTCATTTACTACAATGTCTATCCTTCCTTATGATGAATCAGCATGAAATCCATACTCATTATGCAGATGTCAGTATATTCTAATTAAGCAATCATTATCCGTTGCAGTAGGTTGAAAAAGCAAAGAATATTGTTGTAACATTAGTCATTAAAGTTCAAAGTTTATAATACTGAGAAATTTAGTCTATTAACAAATATAAGTATGTGTTTTCAATCACATCTGTCATTTTTTTCCGCGTAGTACAAATACTAATTCTCTAAGTAAATTATAGTTTAACATCTATATTTAGCTCTACATTGCATAAGTTTGTATGTAGATGAATGATTAGTGACTGGTGGTATAAAACTATCAAGTGGTTTCCAAGGCTAACAAATATTGTTTGCAAACATTATTTGGTTCCAATTTTACTATTAAACCTTTTGGCTACTTTTAATTCATTTTTGTTTTGGTTGTTTTAATCTTCTCATTAATGTTTAACATTGCAATTGATTAGTTTCTTATTGGCATATGTTCATCCTATACCTTCAGTCACAAGCATCATCTCTCCTTATAATAAAAAAAATTTGTCTCATAAGTATTGTACACTTATAAATGAATTTATAAAATTTGAATATCTCTTTTTTCAATGGAGCAAGGATCCTTCGTTAACGTAGAACATAACGATATTGTTAGCTAGCACTAATTTTTATCACTAACATCACTGACATGCCTGCCACATGATTTTCCCTTTTTAATGTATTTCAAGTTTGGACTGAAATAATTTCTTTAAGAGATCAAAAATACTTACTCAATAATGATGCATTTTAATCAAATCGTAATAAAATGTCATTCATATATATATTGTCCCTCTCTTTTTATTTTAGACCATCTGAAGTATGGTTTTGTACATGTAAACAGACATCAGAACCACCCTATTGTGATGGAAGCCATAACTGTGAAGAAGTACAGTCCAAAACTAAACACTAATTATTACACTTTTTTCTATAAAGTTAGCCATTGTATAAAAAATCACTTGTGTAATATAATCTTATCAGTATAATAGATAAAATTTGGTATAGTTGTATTGACTATGTATGTTTTGTTTATTGCATCATCAACTTGCCTGTCAATTTATGCTATCACGTTAAATAGTCTATATTGACCGTATCCTTAAAACATCAATCAATATATCTTGTGACTGAAACTTAAATGGGTATTTTTTGTGTGCATTAGTCTAAAAACCGTTCATTCGACCCATCAAGTTGAATTGTGAACATTAGATTGAGTAACGTAACATCCCATTACACTATGTTTAGTGTTATTTGGTTGGAGATAATCAATATAGTAATCCATCAATCCAGGTGTCATGATATTAATTACTCATCGGTAGTGTAGACATATATCAAGGGAACTGGTGCTCTCTGTGAAGTTAAAAGATGATTCATCCGACCGGACGAGAACACACGTGGGGACAATCGAATGTATGTGGATAAAAAATTACAGAACACCTTAGTAAAATCTTGGAACCTTACAGTACATACTTCATTTGCAAAATGTCAATAAATTGTCTCAAACTTGACTGTTCCTTCTGCAAAACGTCAATCAATCGTCTAAAACTTCATTGTTCTTTTGTTTCCACACCAATCATTCTCCGTTATCGTTCTCTTTCCTTCGATCTTCTTAACCTTCTGCCACCAGACATTTCACTTTCGATTGATGATACATACTACTTATATCTGTCAACATCAGTAACACACACCACAATATGACCAATGAGTTGTTTTAACCACGTCTCCAATTTTGAGGTTAGAAATGTTTTCTTCCGGATCGCAGATACATATATTAGTGACGAGTACGTAATGTATTTTCATGGCTTCTATTGCTGATCCTCTTCATGCTTGGTTACATAGTATTGTTAGTATTATTTTAAATTATCGCGTAGATCTCGCCTTATAATCTGGAGACGAAATTCTGTGCTAACTTTTACATATTGAGGAATTTTTTTCAGTTTTGAGTGTTATAGAGCTAAAACTGAATCAATCACAAAAAGACTAACTAAAGAAATGATAGGTTACTAAAGAAATCTCATATATGCTACTCCGTTTCTAGATTTATTTGCAGTTAATGCTTATGACATCAATCTGGTGATGATCGAGTTTGATTTAAAATCCTCTGGTTGCTTTCTTCAATGTTTGTCCGATAGTGTAAAAGAACTTTTTTTGTCTCCAAGTGCATAGTATGTTTTTATTCTTGCCTGTGCTATAGACTATGGTTTTACAGGCACGGCAAATATATCAAACAAGTATTCATCATGTTAAAAATTTATTTGATTAAAATTGGATTTCATTGAATAAACCCTCAGTTTAATCATCTGAAATGAGACTGAATACTTTTATGTAAATTCATTCAGAAAATGATATACTAGCAAGCCCATCACAATAAATACAATGTATATGATCAGTAAACCTATACTGAACAGATGAGTTGGTCAGCCGTGCTATTTCAAAAGCAAAATGGATAAACCATGATTGATTTTTACTGTCGGGTGAATCATGACTGATTGCAATAAATTCATCCTAATCAAGTATTATCAGGAAGTTTAACTGTTTAGAAAGACGGTACTATGTTTTTATGAGCATAACTTTACAGATAAAGCTTGTTAGGCAAACCGTATGAAATCGTTTCAGTGAAATTTATGTTGATGTAATAAGTCATTCGAGTCGAATACTGAGGTAAATAATGCCATTATAACAAAGAAAGGAACGGAAATACAGAATGCGTTTATTTATTTAACTTGTTGGTTTTAGGAATATAAAGCAGAACTCTTCAAAATAGATCATATTTAAAATATATTTAGATTTGATTATGTGAAATGTTCACCAAATTTATAATTTTCGTTTCTCATGGTCATCTGTTTTCAAATTCACTAAGAGCTGGCTATGTCACTTTAACATTCGTTTGGGGTCGTCATTATGTCGTAAGATGTACAAGAAGAAAAACTTATGCAACTGGCTAATTAGAGTTGACAGTGATAAAAGCTGCATAGCAATCTGAAAATAAAATCCTAGCGTCTTTTGAGGAAATAAGGAATATTTAAGCAAACAATTGTTTTCAATAACTTCATCTACAGTTGTTAATCCATAATTATTATTTTACGATGATGATGTGACAGAATAAGATGACACTAATTAGGTCAGCACTTTTTATCGGTTTATTATTGTTGGGATGGCCACCGAGAAGCCACCCACGTACATAGTCGATTGACTAAGTTATCGATTAACTTATCGATCAGATGTTAAGTATTTGAATAGCAGTCAATTGATTAACTTATTGATGAATGTTTAAGAATTTTTAAATGACAATATTGATTATATATATAATTTTGTATAAATACTCATGTTTGATTGTATATTTTGATTCTTGTCAATAAGTGCTCACAAACGTCTTTCGTCTTCTTACTTGAGAGCGATTGGAGGTTATAACGTTCGAGTGTCATCCGTTATACAGTCTTTCCGTGCGTATTCGAGTAGAGAACTTAACAGTGGCGACGGGTTTTACAATCAACAATGCCAATTACCTTTAAACAAATAGAATCTTTGCTGGAACGTCAAGAAAAACGGTATGAACAGTTCCAGGAGCGTATGTTGGAGATGTTAGCGAAACAAATGAATCTGAATAACAGAGATTTTACTGATGATTCATGTAATACGCATACAGACTCGATAATTAATTCCATTCAGGAATTTCATTTTGATGGCCTAGCTGGTGTGACTTTCGAGTCTTGGTTCAAGAAGTATGAAGATTTGTTCAAGGAAGCCCTATCAATTATCTTTGCAGTAAAAAAATTCCACAAGATGTTATATGGTCGAAATTTTACCCTATTAACAGACCATAAGCCACTGCTTGCAGTTTTTGGGTCAAAAAAAGGGATTCCTGTTCATACAGCTAACCGACTCCAACGTTGGGCAACCACACTTCTGGGTTACGACTTCAAGATCAAGTATCAGTCAACTACCGCTTTTGGGCAAGCTGACGCGTTGTCAAGATTAATAGGCTCCCAATCAAAAACCCCAGAGGAAACCGTTGTAGCAAATATAAAAGCCGAGAAAGAAGTTCATCGCGTATTGGTCGACGCAATCGATGGACTTCCAGTAACTTTTGAAATTATCAAGAAGATTACTGAAAGTGACAAGATATTGAGCACAGTTAAATGCTATCTTACGACCAAATGGCCAAACAATCGTCTTGATGGAGAACTCTTGCAATATTTTCGTCGACGGGACTCACTAATGATTGTCGACTCGTGTATTATGTTTGGTGATCGAATTGTTATTCCGAAGTTATTACGTCACAAGGTTCTCAAGCAGTTCCACAGTGGCCACCCTGGAATCAATAAAATGAAATCGTTGGCTCGTAGTTATGCTTATTGGCCGTCAATGGACAAAGATATCGAGAATAAATGCCGTAACTGTCCATCATGCATTCAAGCTGCTAAAAATCCTTTGAAATGCGAACCTCAGTATTGGCCAACGCCTGCAGGACCGTGGGTAAGACTTCACGCAGATTTTGCTGGTCCAATACACGGAAAAATGTTTCTAATTATTGTGGATGCATTTACTAAGTGGCCAGAAGTATATACCATGCCCAATTGTACAACATCAGAAACAGTCCACAAGTTGTCTACTTTGTTTAGCTGCTTCGGAGTTCCAGAGACCTTAGTCACTGATAATGGCTCGCAATTCATCGCAGAATCGTTTAAGTATTTCTGTAGCGCAAATGAAATAACTCATCTTCGTCCTCCGCCCCATCATCCACAATCGAACGGACAAGCAGAACATTTTGTGGACACTTTTAAACGAGCATTACTGAAAAGGGGAGGCGAAGGGACAACTGGATAGATAATCACAAAATTTTTAGCATCCTATAGAACCACTCCGAACCCAAATGTTCCAGATGGTAAGTCTCCTGCTGAAACAATGTTCGGGAGGCGTATTCGGACAGTTTCCAACGCCATATTGTCATCCAAATTAGTGGATGGGCAGAGTCACATTCCAAATATCCGGAGCTTTAATGTCGACGACGAAGTTTCCATTAAATCTACCCCGAGAAGAACCGATGGGAACCGGGAAAAATTGTACAAAAGTTAGGAAAAGTTCTGTACAGAGTCCGAGGAACTTTTAAAACATGTATACGACATACGAATCAAATCCATAAGGACAAAAGAACGAGGCAGACTCGAAATAACCGGCCAAAATTCCCGTTAGAGTCAACCTTGGACGTACCAACGATACATATGCCCAAGGACACTGAAAGGAAGCCTTGGATAAGGAAGACGACAAGAATAATGAGACACCACCGCAACCCAGTTGTCAAGCTACAAATAAATCCTAGAAAGAAATCTTATTCGGGGGAGGTGTTGGGATGGCCACCGAGAAGCCACCCACGTACATAGTCGATTGACTAAGTTATCGATTAACTTATCGATCAGATGTTAAGTATTTGAATAGCAGTCAATTGATTAACTTATTGATGAATGTTTAAGAATTTTTAAATGACAATATTGATTATATATATAATTTTGTATAAATACTCATGTTTGATTGTATATTTTGATTCTTGTCAATAAGTGCTCACAAACGTCTTTCGTCTTCTTACTTGAGAGCGATTGGAGGTTATAACGTTCGAGTGTCATCCGTTATAGAGTCTTTCCGTGCGTATTCGAGTAGAGAACTTAACAGTGGCGACGGGTTTTACAATCAACAATGCCAATTACCTTTAAACAAATAGAATCTTTGCTGGAACGTCAAGAAAAACGGTATGAACAGTTCCAGGAGCGTATGTTGGAGATGTTAGCGAAACAAATGAATCTGAATAACAGAGATTTTACTGATGATTCATGTAATACGCATACAGACTCGATAATTAATTCCATTCAGGAATTTCATTTTGATGGCCTAGCTGGTGTGACTTTCGAGTCTTGGTTCAAGAAGTATGAAGATTTGTTCAAGGAAGCCCTATCAATTATCTTTGCAGTAAAAAAATTCCACAAGATGTTATATGGTCGAAATTTTACCCTATTAACAGACCATAAGCCACTGCTTGCAGTTTTTGGGTCAAAAAAAGGGATTCCTGTTCATACAGCTAACCGACTCCAACGTTGGGCAACCACACTTCTGGGTTACGACTTCAAGATCAAGTATCAGTCAACTA